CTGGTGCAGAATTTAGGCAAACCTGAAAGGGAGGTTCCTTCACCTCATTTCACTCCACCCTTTTTTGGGTGCAATTTGATGTTTAATTCTATCTTAATATCATTATAAAGCACCAAAATTTCAGACCCCTTTTGTTGGGAAGGAGTCAAAGATATGTACTCATCTAATTGGCCCCAACCATGGCCAAAAACTCTCATTTCACTCTTGCTTCAAATCAAAGGCCCAATTTTGCATAAGGAAGTTCATAAATCAAATATTAGAAAATTAAAATCTAAAAAACACCCATCAATGATGAGGGGACCAAGAAACCATATCCCATGTTTAACATCAACATCATAAAAAGGGGAAAGGAATTTCCAGCTTTTAATCCAAACAATTATTCACACCAATTGTGACCCTAAAGTCATATCACCTTCTTCTCCCCTCCATCCCCACTTTTAAAAATGATTTAATTAATAGTACCTATAATTATCAAATCCCATGACTTATCAAAGGTCTTTCATTTTCCCTATTTCCCAATTCTAGGTTGGATTTTATGACAAAGACGTCACTTCCTTAAACACTAATCTCATCCCATTATTACAAAACCTCATCTTAATACATAAAACTGTTGTTTCCTCTTTGACTTTGACTCTCCCCTTATTACTTTGTTTCTCCCTGTTGTCCAATTTCATTGGATCGTGACACCCACGGGATGAAGTGAAGAGTGGGTTTAGTTTAAGTGGAAGAATTTTGACTTTCAAAAGAACGAGGAAAATATAAAAATATAAAGGGAAAAAATTAAAAAAACGGAAACGAGGGAATGATGAGGTGGTGAAAAGAAAATGTGAAGGAGAAGGAGGAGAAGGAGAAGGAGAAATCTTGGATCCAAAAAGTTAAAAAGCTTTTTTTATTTTAAAGTTTTCTCTTGCTTTCTCGCTTCCCAAACACTCCGCCTCCTCTTTTTAGTACTAGTGGTAGCATATTTTCTCTTGCTCTCTTTCACTCCTCAAATTCCGTCTCCAACAAAGCTCAAGGCAAAAGAAAAGTTAAAAAAAGGAACCTTTTTTCCTTCTTTCTCTTTTTTTTTTTGGGTGAGTTAAGTTGAAATTCGAGGTTTAAGCCAATGGGAGCTCGTTGCTCCAAACTATCACTCTGCTGGTGGCCGTCAAATCTCAAGTCAAACCTCAACGACTCCTCCGATCTCGGTTAGTTAGCTAAAGTTGTTTCCATCACTTTCTCGAGAAAGTGGTATACTCATTTTCTCTCTTTTTTTTTTGTTTAAAAAAAATTTAGAAATCTTAAATCTTTCTTTGGTTTGTTATATCAGAGAATGGGAAGGAAGCGTTACCTGGATTCTGCGAGTACAGCTTGGACCAATTAAAAGCTGCCACGCAGGGATTCTGTACGGATAACATTGTATCGGAGCATGGAGAGAAAGCTCCCAATGTAGTTTACCGAGGGAAGCTCGACGAGGATCGTTGTGTCGCCGTTAAACGCTTCAATAGATCGGCTTGGCCTGATCCTCGACAGTTCCTTGTATATATATATATATATATATATTTGTTTTTCCAATTTACTGCAATTTATTTTCATGTTTTTCTTTTGGTTGATTTGTAATTATTGACTTCTCTTTTTTTGTTGGTTGGTTATTCTAGGAGGAAGCAAGAGCCGTTGGACAGTTAAGAAGCGAGCGGTTAGCAAATTTGATTGGTTGTTGCTGTGAAGGGGATGACAGATTGTTAGTTGCTGAGTTTATGCCTAATGAGACTCTGTCTAAGCATCTTTTTCACTGTATTTTTCACTCAATCTTTTCAATTTTGTTTTTCCGCTCTTTTAATGTGACATAGTTTGATTTGTTTACACTCTGGGAAATAGGTAATTAGTTGAAGTAGTTATATAGAATCTTCATTTCTATTGTATATAGTAGAATTAATGTGCTGATAATGGATATCCTAATAATTTTAGTTGTTTGGTTTTGTGTTGAAATGGTACAGGGGAGAATCAGCATATGAAGTGGGCAATGAGGCTGAGAGTGGCGCTATATCTAGCTCAAGCGCTTGAATATTGCAGCAGTAGAGGGAGGGCGTTATACCATGATCTTAATGCTTATAGAATCTTGTTTGATCAGGTAATTTAATCCTTTACACCCTTATTTGAACCTAGTACCTCACTGAAAATGTTCATTTTAAAATATGTATTGATTTGTTTCTTACAGTGGGTTACTCCTTGACAGGACGGTAATCCCAGACTCTCTAGCTTTGGCCTCATGAAGAATAGTAGAGATGGAAAAAGTTATAGTACAAACTTGGCTTTTACCCCTCCAGAGTACCTAAGGACAGGTATCCAATGCTAACAGATAAAGTTTACAGAACTCTTGTACAGATTGCAAAAGGCTGTCTGTCTATATTATTTATGTATGAATATGTATATTTTGGCTAAGGGTATGTGAATTTAGCTTTGGGTATATTAGGTTCTTATGCAACTTCTGTTGCTGTCTCTTTAGCTGAGCTAATTTAGGCAACTTAACATGGCAGGAAGGGTTATACCTGAGAGTGTGGTTTACAGTTTTGGCACTCTATTGCTTGATCTTCTCAGTGGCAAGCATATACCACCAAGCCATGTAAGTTTTCTTTTCTTGCCTAAATCTTCATTAAGGTGGAAGACTTGTCTGGTATCTTGTCTCAAGAGCAACTTAAGAAATCATTCAAATTTTGGATATTTAAAGTGCATCTTACGATGTTTGTCTGAGATAATATAAATGCTTTAATGTTGGATTGTTATCATCATGCAGGCACTAGACCTAATACGTGGAAAAAACTTTCTGATGCTAATGGACTCATGTCTGGAGGGCCATTTTTCAAACGATGATGGAACTGAACTAGTGCGGTTAGCTTCACGCTGTTTGCAGTATGAACCTCGTGAGAGGCCAAACGTGAAGTCTCTTGTAACTGCCCTTACTCCACTTCAGAAAGAAACTGAGGTATTTCCATACTATCTTATCTTCTTTCTTTATCTCCAGTTTTTATTTTAGAAAGTCCATGCTTTAATATTAGTACCTACAAATAGAAACCAAAGTTTGCCCTGCAACTGCAAGTGATCTCTATTTGAATTTGCCAACAATAAAGTTGCTGTGGCAGATAAGACCCTCTGTAATTTTGTATGGCATCTACTTATTACTAGCTTGAAGCCTTATGATAGGGATAAAGGAGTGTAACTTCTCGTCAAAGTTCTGAGACATTGAGTGCTGAACTAAGTTTCATTATTCTGTTATTCATAAATATATAATTAGTATTCTACATTTTTTCCCTGAGAAAGTCTATATCTTCTATTTTACTTGAATTATTTAACAGGTTCCATCACATGTTTTGATGGGCATTCCTCATGGAACTGCATCCTCAAAGCAAACAATGTTATTAACGCCTCTGGGTGAAGCATGCTCACGAATGGATCTTACTGCAATACATGAAATATTGGAGAAGATTGGATACAAAGATGATGAGGGGATTGCAAATGAGGTCAGCAATCTAGACCTTTTATGTTGGTTCAAATCTGATTCATCAAGAAAAAAGAATCAAAAGAAGGCTTTAAGTTATGCTCTGTAGTAGAGCAAAAACTAGCTGATGGCCTCATTGGTGCAATTTCCAAATACTTATGAGTCAAAAAGACATGAACTCCATAAATATCATGTTTCTAATTGTCTTTATTGCTTACAGCTTCATCCTTCAAACCACCAGAAGAAAAGAACTTCTATGATACTTTCTTAGCATTATCAAAATCATCTGAGCAAACTTTTGATATGAATCCTCTCATAAAATTGCTTTATGCTAAGTGGTGTTGAACTTGTTCTGCCTTGTAGCTTTCTTTCCAAATGTGGACAGATCAGATACAGGAGACTCTGAATTCGAAAAAACGCGGAGATACTGCTTTCCGAGCAAAAGACTTTGGAACAGCTATTGAATGTTACACTCATGTAAGTGTTTTGTATACAATTTGGCGATTTGCAGAACCATTTGATAGCCAGCAATCCAAAAACTCGAGTACTACAGATTAAAGATTTAAACCTTTAATATCTTTAATGGTTTAATATTTTGCCTTGTGTGTAGTTCATTGATGGTGGGACGATGGTTTCACCAACTGTGTTTGCAAGACGCTGCTTGTGCTACTTGATGAATGACATGGCACAAGAAGCCCTTGGAGATGCTATGCAAGCCCAGGTAGTCTCTCCAGATTGGCCTACTGCATTCTATCTCCAAGCTGCTGCTCTGTTTAGCCTTGGGATGGACAATGATGCGCAGGAAACCCTCAAAGACGGTACAAACTTGGAAGCCAAAAAACATAGAAACTGAAAGTGTATAGGTCCTTTTTTTCCTTTCACTTAATTATCCCTTGTATCTTCCTTCCTGTCTTATTTCCCTCTTTGGCATTTATGTTTCCTCATCACCACAGAGTAATTGTAACGCTTATATCCTGGTTATGGTGTATGTTCTCTTTTATCTTCTCATTCTGGACACAATATTTTATGATGATAAGAAGAATGAACTTTCCATTTTTGAGTTTGACATCAAGCAGATCTTCCTACTGATTTGAGTAGTGATTAGTGCAATTTAATTTAGATTAATTTCATTGTCAAGGGAGTATTTTATGTTTTATTGTCATAGAGCCGAGGTAGTATTATGGATGGAGCTTGGGTTATAACAACTTGCCGATTGAGTGGGTTGATGAAGTTCCTAAACAGTAGAAAAATAGAAAAATTTTCATGGTGCGATATAAGTTTAAAAGTTAATTCTAAATCGATAAGGCTTTAATTCATGATAATTAACCTCAATTAATTTAAAGTTGATGAAAATAGATTAATTAAGTCTCCTTCCCAATCCTGACGAAACAAAGCAGTTCATATAGTAAAATTCTATAAGCATTGTGCATAAGTTATATGGAACTTCAGATTTAGAACCAAAATCTTTAAATTTAAAACCAAAACCTTTATTATATTGCAATGATTAAAAACTGCCCACAGAAAGTGTCGAAAAAAAATGTAATTTGGAAAGTCATTAAAAACGTATGTTGTATTACAATCTCCACCTTTCCCCAGACCATGCATTTCATGAAAAACATAACTTAGGATGGAGGATGCTAGTGTTTTACATTGGAGGCCGACCACCAGCACTGAGCATCTGGCCAATCATCCCATTCACCTGAAAAATAAGAAAGGTCGCATTCGTAAGAATCAAATCTCAGTCTTCAACTAAGAATGAAGGAATACATCTAAAGAAAAACTCATTGATAGGTATCCGAATCAAGAATAGTTTATTCCAAACAAAAAAGGCTTCATGATAGAACTTTTTGAAAAGCATATTAGGCCAACAATACAATACAGTATAGAGCTTGTTGCCTTGTAGCCTTAACACCATCCCTACATTTTGTATATAACTTAATTTAAAACCAGAGGAAGCAGTCATATAAAGCTAGTGTAAGACATGCTTCCAACTCTAATAAAACACATTTAAAAATATTTTAATTGAGCTTAAGCCTACCTGCCAATACTTTGAAACACAGCGATCAATGCAACTATTTTCACCCATGTTTAGCTCAGATTCCTTGTACCTAAAGCAGAAAGATATTAGCATTGAAACCATTTCCTTAGGAATAAAAAGTAATTATAATAACATGTGTAAATCTCTTAATAGGTTCATGGTAACCTAAAAAGGGGGTGTCCGGACTTCTCATACCTTTTGTCAACACATTTGTTGAAACATGTTTGTGCAAGCCTGGACAAAAATCATAAAAACAAGCTGAATTCAGGAACTTGAGTATTGGCAATATGAACTTACAAGAAGTGCAAAGTATCAATAATGAAGAACCATGCCAGGCCACATGGGTCCCGTTGCAAATTCTGAACTCTGAAATTTTCAGTTGTCGGCAGATAAATCGAGTTTACAGGAAGTTTAAGAAGCCAACATAATGTAGATGTGTTTCTGATAGCAATCTTTTCAACAAACATTCCTTGTTAACTTATAGATGTATCTACTAAACACATTCATTAAAGTTTGTCAAGTTCCCTTACCTGTTAAATAGTTCTACCCTATATTCCATCTCCGTTTCCGCCATGCCAAAGGCCTGCACAGTGTTCAAAACATGGACTTCAAATGACCCACATTGCAAGAGTTGGGGGGTGGGGGAAGAAGATAAACAAAATCAAAATCTTTTAACTAAACCCAAATACAAAATAATTTAAAACCATTTCCAATTAGTTCATAACAAAAACCTTAATCCATAGGGACTAAGAGACCCAAGATTATTTCAACACTCCAAACTCAACAACAAAAAATCCGAATTAATCAGTGGCAAAGATCAAGCCTTCTTGAACCCCAGAGAATTAATTGAACCAAAGCAATGTTCATAAACTAAGAAAAAGATGAAGAAACCTGCTCTTTGTCTATTCCAGCAGGGGTGTTGGCAGCCATTGGGCCCTGAGAAATAAACAAGATCCATCAGAAAAACTAACCAGAAATATCAGGGCAAAACAGTGAAATCAACATTAGAAGAAAGGGTTGTATAAAGCCCGTACTTTTCAATTTTCCTCCGATAGGAGAAAAGCTCTGATCTTGTTAGAGTCTAAGGATTAGCCGAAAACAAGAAAATGGAAGAAGAAACCTTGCACTAGGTTTGTTATATTCGAATTAGGGTTTAAGGGGTAAGTCTACGGTGTAGCTATGATGTACCGGAAATAAGTCTTTAACAACTTAAAATTAACACGCCGCGTAATACGAAAGTAATCAGCTAATTTAAGCCCGGGGCTAAATTTGTAATTTGGGAACGGCTGCTTTCCTCGGTTGTGTGTCTTCCTTTCAGCGGAAAAACCCGTGATACGCCGTAGGGTTTTTGCACGCAAAATACTCAGGTAAGCTATATTTTCTGCTTCTCCTTTTTTCCCATGATTATTGGGGTGAAAATTCTTGTCGTTTTGTTTGATTTTGTTATTGTTTTCCTTCTTCCTTTGCAGCTTTGGATAGATAAAATCGGGGTCATTTAGAGATTTTGAGGTGGGTTAAAAGAAATTATGGAACACGGGTCCTTCACTGATAATAGTGCTGCAACGTTTTCCTTAACGGAAGAGGATCATACTTTAGCTAATGCTGTTAGATTCACTTTGAATCAAGAGTCAGTTCGATCACCTCTGTTTTTTTTTTTTAAAACCTTTTCATAATTATCATCATTTGAGTTTAATGTTGGGTTTTCTTTTCTGAAGGATTTGGGTGATTATAATGTAAATTTTGATTTTGCAGCCCAAGGGTAACATTCTGTGGGTACAGTATTCCTCATCCTTCGAATGCTCGAGTTAATATTAGAGTTCAGACAACTGGTAACTCAATAGTAGCTCTCTTTTCATGATTAACTTTTATGGAAGTGTGGGTTTTTGCTACTGGTTTCTTCTTTTGTCATCAAGCATGTTGTTTTCCCAAGGCTTCTAGTTGAGTTATTTGATTCATTGTCTGCCTTATGATTTCTGGATATCAATATATTTATGGAGCCGTACTGTTGGGTTGGGTTCAGTTTGTAGTTCTTTGTAAACATCCAAGTCCTCAGCAGTTAGTTGGCTATCAACTGATTTTTGGAATACTATAATTCGTGGACATTGCCTTCAAGCCCCTCTAGAATTGTGGGTTTCCTTTCCTCAATTGACATCTTTTGTACATTGTTCTGTTTCTCTGATGACTGATCTTCCATGTAGTTGTGCATGTATGGAACTGTTCCTTTTGTTTTTTTTTTTTCTTTTTCCTGTTGTGAAATTTTTGTTTTTCAATGGGAATTTTGCAGGTGATCCGGCCAGAGAGGTACTGAAAGATGCATGTCAGGATCTGATGCTGATGTGCAGGCATGTAAGGAGCAGTTTTGACAAGGCTGTTGAAGATTTTAAGGCAAGCAATGCTGTGAAGGCCATGAAGATTGATTCCCAAGATAGTGATTTAGAAGAGAGCGAATGAGATTAATAGATCTCCATTATTGTCTTTGACATTTTTGTTCAAACTATTATGTGCTCAACATGTCCGCATCTTCATAGGAAGTAGAGCTTTTGCTATCATATTGAAGCTGTCCTTTCATTGTCTTGCTTAAGGATCAACTAGCTCTATCAGATTTGCAAACTAGAGTTGCCTGTCCATCATCAGATGAAGTATGCAATTGTAACAGCAGGTTTTGCCTTTCCAGTCTGTTCATAGGTGGCACTTAGAAGCATCTCCCCCTTAATCTAAAGCGTTCAAGATCATTAAGTGCTTTGTTAGGTGTGACTTTGTGGTTCAGTTAAGTTGCCTCTCAGAGTCTTGGTAATGAAATCAACCTCCCCTTGTCTTTGTAAAGCAAAAGATTGATAAATTGAGCTGTTCATATTCATTATAGCGAATTAAAACAACATAAAGCCTAATTTTTCCCTCGTAACATTTGTCATAAACGGCCAAGGTATATATGCAGCTCTTACAAGCAGAAACATCATTCACTGTACTTGCCCAATAATCACATTGCTCACATTCCATATGTACAGGTACTTCGAAGAAACAACTAAGCTAAGAGGAATCAAATGAAAACTGTCATTGGCTGTGCTAACTCATCCACTGGACAGTCCACGGTTTAGTTTGTCAATAGTCGTCAAAACCAAATGAAAGATATGCAGAAGCATCAGAGATACAACTAACCAAAATGCCACTCCAAACAAAAAAAATGTTTAAATGAAATTAACTCTTTCACAAAACTTTTAGTTCTGACTACAGATTTCCCATTTGAACCAGTAAAAATTGAGCAGTTCCAAAGCGCAAAGTTGATAGCATATGAAAGTTCACATGCATCTTGAAATGAATTTTGAACCACTACCATATCCGAAGATTAACTCTGCCTCTTGAGTGCAAAAGAATCAGCCAATGACAATACAATAGCAGGTTACTAGCATCCAGAATTTGAGGCAATGCATCAAGCTACTTGGGCTTCAGGCTTTGGGGCATTTTCTGTTGGTTTTATCAAGTTTGGAGTCATTTTTCCTGGTTTTGACAAATGTGGAAGGTATCTCCAACAGCGCTTGTGAACTCCACTTATTTTCTTGGGAGCATCTGCAGCTGGCAAGCCTGCATTAGGCATCATTAACATCAACTCAACCATTGCATAAACAGGTAATTGCAAGGAGAAATCTAATCAGATGGTGAAAAGGAGTTTAGCAGTTTTTATTGCTTCCCAACCTTAACTGAATGGAGAAATAACATCTACTCTTCCAGAGTTATCACCACAATAGGTAAATCAATTCAGGAATTACCAGGTTCTTCCACCATGGGTCTAGGAGATGGCATATGATCTATCAGAATCAAATGTACCCTATGCAGTAGTTAAGCCCATTCAATCTCCTTATGCACATTTCCAAAAATAATATTGGTATGCATTTTTAACCCTAAACAAGAAGCAAGCTATCAGAGCACTTGGACCTTTGATACTAACAGAGAGACTTAAGCAAAGTTCTATTCAGGCCATATAATTTGCAAAAGACTAAGACATCTAGTCTTTGCTGGACTGTTTCCAAGACAAACTATAATATCCTGTTGCTGTTTCTGGACCACCATCCCTTCTTCCAATTCCCAGCCTGGTGAGATCTGGTGAAATTTCCACCCTCTACATTGACATTAAGATTGCCTCACAATAACAACCATTAGGTCTAAACCAAAAGGGAACCATATAATTGACTTCTTCTGATCTTAGCCAATATTTGACACAAAGTTTAAGTTTCAATAACCTCTTGTTTTTTTACCTTATTAGTGCCTTTCTAGTACACAAATGCACCTTTGTTTCCGAAAACCTATAAAATATCCCTCTGAAGTCATTCTTTATGTGTTTAACTTAATTTAGCTCACTTCTCTGCCTCTCTCTTGCCCTAGCAAATCCGTGTGCACTATGCATTTTTGATTCTATTATTGGCTGCTCACAACTCACAGCAAAAATCAGCATTTCCCACCAGGGATCAGGAGTATCAAATGAAATAAATTTTATCAAACACCAACAACAAATAGCAAAATAAAGCAAATCAGAAGCTCATAACCAACTTTATTCAAGGATACATTGGGCACAAGACCAGACAACAAAATACCAACAATCGTCTCACCAAAATGACAAACATCACCAACATTAATAGACAACAATGAGCAGAACATACAAAACGCTCTAACCCTGAAACTGGAACAAATATCAAACTCCAACTCCATTATGAAAAATAGGAAATTATACCCTCCCCTGTCAATTGTAATAATTAAGGCGAATTAGCTACTGACCGTCTTTGTGAGCAACTCCCCATGCCTTGCCATGCCTTCCATCCTGTAAAGAAATTCAAACCTTATAAATCCTAAAACCCTAAAATCTAAGAACAGAACGAACAACAACAAAAATGGCATAATTAACTAAATCCCCAAATTTTTTATCAATAAATTTACAAAAAAAATCAAAGATTAAAAATCAACACATTTTGCTCATAAGACCGAATACAGCCATTCAACTCCATCAACTCTTCACATTTCTAAGTAAACACAAAAAACCCATAATTTCAAAAACATTTTTTCGATATAAATGAATCCAAAAGAAAAACATTAAGAACCCAACCCGTAAAGTTCCTTCTTTTATTATTATTATTTTGAGAGAGAGAGAGGGAGAAGAAGAGGACCTTGTAAAGATTGATCTTAGTGATCTGATAAGAAACATCAGTCCAATGAGTTTTGGCCATGTGGTAACCAAGTCCCCAGTTGGGTAAGATCTGAGCTACCTCAAACAGGTTCTTCTTCTTTTTCCGCTTGGGTTTTTTGGAAGCTGAAGAGGAGGAGGAGGCGCCAGGGTTTTGAGTAGAACTGGCAGTGGAGAGGTTTCTCAAGAAGTTGGACACGAGTCTCGATAGCCCAATGTTTTGATTCGCAGCAGCTCTGTTTGCGAGTGTCGTTGCCATGCTTGGTTTTGCTTTTGTTTCTCTACTCTGAAATAATACGATAACTGCGGTGGGAAACGGGATCAAGAAAGAAGCAAGGGCCAAGGAGTGTTCTACTGTTCTTTACGAGTATTAAAAAATTAAAATGATGAACGGATGAGAGTGGATTAAAACGGTGCCGTTTTAGGGTTGATGTTACATTTTATTTTTTAAATTTTGCAAAAAATTAGCTAACAAATACTAAAAACCTGTTTGATCTTATTTTTTTCTAACTTAAAAGTTATTATGAAACTTTTATAAAAAAAGAAAACCAAGAGGAAATAAATATAGATAGCACCATCTGCTTTCACAATGCTGATTTGTTGAGAGAAGTGTGGTTGGAATGAATGCCTTTGTCTTCGCAGTGATGCAATCATGAAAGACGAGATTTTTCTAATTCGAAGAACAATGAAGGTGGGTGCAACTGTGACATCAATTCAACAAAGAACAATTGCAACAAGAAAGTTTATTTAGAAACTTAAGAAGAAGGGGTACATAGTTTTTCTTCTGCATGCTTCGCTGAAAGAGCACAGCAAGCAAGTATTTGAATAACTCAAGAAATGCTACTACAAAGTTTTCAACGAAATTAAAACTTCATCAGTGCAGAAACAGTTACACAGCATAACGACTCAATTCTTTCACATTCCAAACGAACCAGCAACTGGAAGTTGAGGTTTTGAGTAAGCCAAAATGGCGACAGATAAATAAGATTTTACTCCTCATATTCGGGTTCCTCATCCTCAAACTCTTCCTCATCAGCTGTTGCATCTTGGTACTGCTGATACTCGGAGACCAGATCATTCATGTTGCTCTCTGCCTCAGTGAACTCCATCTCATCCATACCTTCCCCTGTGTACCAATGCAAGAAGGCCTTCCTCCTAAACATAGCTGTGAACTGCTCGCTCACTCGCCTAAACATCTCCTGAATGGATGTTGAATTGCCAATGAATGTTGATGCCATCTTGAGGCCAGTGGGTGGGATGTCACAAACTGTTGACTTCACATTGTTGGGGATCCACTCAACAAAGTAGGAGGAATTCTTGTTCTGAACATTCAACATCTGCTCATCCACTTCCTTGGTGCTCATTTTACCACGGAACATTGCTGATGCAGTCAAGTAACGGCCATGTCGTGGATCAGCTGCACACATCATGTTCTTTGCATCCCACATTTGTTGAGTGAGCTCGGGAACTGTTAGAGCTCGGTACTGTTGGGATCCTCTCGAGGTGAGAGGAGCAAAACCCACCATGAAAAAGTGAAGGCGAGGAAATGGGATGAGATTCACTGCAAGTTTCCTAAGATCAGAGTTCAGCTGACCAGGGAATCGTAAGCAGCATGTAACTCCAGACATCGTTGCAGAGATCAAGTGATTCAGATCACCAACTGTTCAACCAAAAAATAATTAGATCAACTGACAGTCCACAATTTATTTTAGGCCTTTTCTGAAGATAACAGTCATGATTACATTTTGATATAACATGACAGTCCACAATTTTATCTCTAAATTACACAACCACAAGGGCTTCTTTCCATACAAACTAAAATGGTATCACTTCCCCCTTCATTTCAAAGGTGCTGAAATGATAGTTACATCATAAGTACTAGTACATCGACTTTAATCAACAATGCAATGCAAAACAATGGATCCATTGATAGTATAAACAACAAATCAGGGGAAAACTTACAGCTGGGAGTAGTGAGCTTAAGTGTCCGGAAACAAATGTCATACAAGGCTTCATTGTCAAGAACCATACACTCATCAGCATTTTCAACCAACTGGTGAACAGACAAAGTAGCATTGTAAGGCTCCACGACTGTATCAGAGACCTTAGGAGATGGGAAAACGGAGAAAGTCAACATCATCCTATCTGGGTATTCCTCCCTTATCTTCGATATCAGAAGTGTTCCCATTCCAGATCCAGTTCCTCCTCCCAAAGAATGACAAACCTGAAACCCTAGAAAAACAAAGGAAAAAAAAAAAAGAGTCAATGAATAGTACACTAATTATTACACAAACAGAACTTAAAACAACGTTGCTCAGATCCGTTTGTGAAGTTACTCAGCAAACTTACCTTGAAGACAATCGCAATTTTCGGCCTCTTTTCTGACAACGTCAAGGACAGAATCGATCAACTCAGCACCTTCAGTGTAATGACCTTTAGCCCAGTTGTTACCAGCACCGGACTGACCAAAGACGAAGTTGTCCGGTCTGAAAATCTGGCCAACAGGACCAGATCTGATGCTGTCCATGGTCCCAGGTTCAAGGTCCATGAGAACGGCACGAGGGACGAACCTGCCACAACTGGCTTCATTGTAGTAGACATTGATCCTCTCAAGTTGTAGATCCAAGTCTCCCTGGTAACGTCCGGTTGGATCTATGCCGTGCTCGGCACACACAACTTCCCAGAACTTGGCTCCGATTTGGTTGCCGCATTGCCCTCCTTGAATATGAAGGATTTCACGCATTTTTGCCTTTTTTTTTTCTTTTTTGGTTTTGGAGAAGAGGGAAAATAGGAAGGAAAATTCAAGAAAATTGAGAGAGGGAAAAAACAGATCTAGGAAGTGAAAGTGGGGACTGGGGAGGCTTATTAGGGAAGATTTTATATTCAAAGCGAGAACCAACGTTTATTTTAAATTATTTTTTTTATTAACACTAGTAATTTTTTGAATTAATGGTTTTCGGTTTACGAGACGAGACTGCCACAGGTTTTCCAACGGGTGGAGGGAAAATGGCAACGGCTAAAAACTGAGTTATGAAAAAAACAATTTCAAAATTCAAAATTGCTAAGAGACAGCTGGACTCCATTGTCTACCTTGCTGAAAAGTCCGTGGCAGGCGCCGTCTAGGGTTAAAAAACAGCTGGCACTTGCACGTTACCCTAACATCAAGTAGTTTTCTTTTTCTTTTTGAATTTTTGCTCCTACAAATACACTATTTAGTAATAATAAAAGTATGCAGATTGCAGACAAATTTCGAATCTGATTGAAATACAGAAACCAAATGAAGTTGAAAATAATCTTATGGACAATAATTTCCATTGGGGGAAAATGAAAATAGGCTGTAATTATGGGATTAATAAGTAATAAAATTTATGACAACATTGTATATTCCAATTTCATATTTAGTTGAATATTATTAACTCAAGTAAAAACTATATGCATTAGAGCAAAAATAATTGAAGAATGAAGAAGGGGATAAAGTGAAATTCATTTAATTCCAATCATTTGTAAAATATAGCACTATAATTTTCCTTCCAGATTTCAACATAGAAAAAGCCAAACGCGACCTAAGTGAGAAAAGCTACACAGATGTCATTCATCTATTTAATGGCACACTATCTATCTTCCCTTCACAAGGATTTGATGGCTTCATTTTTCCCTCACCGAATTTCAAGAAATCCGAGATATCACAACTTCTTCCAGGGAAACTCGTCGCTGAAGAATCAGGTCGTCCTTAATTCTCTATACACAGGCAAAGACCCGAGCAGGTCCTTAATTCTCTGACCCACAGCCACATCTTCGAAAAGCCATGTCATTAGCCAGCCCTCGGAAGAACACACGTTGATTGCATGTAACAGGTCTTCCTCAAATGCAGAATTGCTTTGCTTTTTGAAAAAACGCACGTCAAAACACTACTGCCCAAATTGTAAATTTTAGCTAAATTATCGGATCAAATACCATCATTATAGGGAAATCTTTCACTGCAGCAAGATAACTCATTAGGCGACGGAAGCCCAGCAATATGTAGTGGCTCCACTATTTTACAATTTTAACCTCCAGTGAAATTACCAAGCATAAAATAACTATGAAAGAAGGTTCTATTCTGATTTGAACAGAGAAAATTATCCTTTATTTTCAGGTGATCCTTAAATTTTCTTTTTATTTCTTTCCAATCACTAAAAGTTGAGTTGGTTTTCCAACTCAATAAAGACCAAAGTCACTACCGCTTAACATGTTAGTATGTATAAATACCATAAATGTAAAACATGTGATAAACTGGCAAAACCGGCATCTATGCAAAAGCAAAGCATCATGCCTGTGTAATAGCAATAATGGATATGTTATATATGTCATGAAAAATGAAAATCAAAGGGAAAATATCATTCTAATTGCTACACATCTAATATAAGGTGGATGGATTGATACCATTAACAAGGCAAAAACAAAAATACAATCATGGCATGCCAGGAAATACAAAATATGCCGCACTGTGGATAACTCTTTCAATGCGCAAATAACAGAATCTATTTGGAGAAATAAAGGGAACAAGTAAATTCAACTTCTACGTAAGCCATCAGTCTTAGTAAATAGTAAACAAATCAAAGTATTTATATTGAAAAAGATGATGGGAAAAGAGTTGAAGACATACAAACTTTCTACACCATCGGTTTTCAACCTCATGATCTATTTGCAATCCCAAATTTTGACAAAGCATTTCTTCTCCTTTATCAAGGGTTGCGTCCATTCATATTCTCCATAATTTATTCTCTTTTTTTCTTATAGCTCCCCAATGATTCTCTCTTACCCTGGCCAAGCATTTCCTTTAACATATATGTTCACCGATTTGACATTAATTTACACATACACCACATGGGAAAGAGTTTATTCGAGTTTTGTTTTGCAGAGTCATTTTTAGTAATTTAATATTTAGCTAGGATGGGCCTTGTTTATATGGCCGATTGGATTTTATACAGTCTAGTAACTCTATTCAGACTTCTGATGTGGTTCTAATTTATAACTGGGTTTTATCTCTAATCTAAAAATATTGAGAATTCCTGGTCCAATTATGATAAAACACTGTCTGCCTATTGATATTTTTTTGTATTTTCAGACTAGTAAAATTGATTTTAATGGATATTTTACTGAAGGGATGTTGAAGAACTTATCATTGTTGATTCACCTCTCTTGCTTCTTGCTATCCTTCTCAAGGTTCTGTTGCTACATTGTTCACAAACCAACGGCACCGATCATGATGCTCTACTCTTGCCAAATGCAACCATGCACCACTCTTTCTTATAGTATTGAAACCCTAAATTAAATAGATTTTCAATCAATTCCCACCAATTTGACCCTAGATTTGTATCATTATATCTAGGTTCGCTGTTTCCATGAATTTCAAGCAACTAGAATCATCAATTTGAGTCAATATTTCGATCTTGAACTCCAATCAAATCAACTATTGACCCAAAAAGGCTCTCCATATAACCATGAAAAATCCTTCATAACCCTAAGCCCCAAATCAGTTCTACAATGCCCACCAATTAAGTGTGTGCACCCCACTCCTTGAGTGTATAAAGAAAAAAAAAAAAACAGCAGCCATTGCCCATGCTTAACTTGTACCACATTGGTAAATTACGCCTACACAAAGACGGCAATTTGTCTAGCATACTAGACTACCTAATGGCTTCCCAATTTGAGCTTTACACTCTACTCACTTCAAGAAAAAGTAATATTGATATAATAACGGACAGATGAGAGACTTAACATCTTAAATTTGAAGAGGAGAACTAACAAGCAAAAGGAGAAACTATCATTCGGGTTGCAGATTCAACCACACAATGATCAAGAATAAAATCACAAACCTGGTCAGAAACACAATGAAAGATGCAGGATTTGCAGTTCAGAATTGCCATCCAACATTGAAAAAGGGGCTGCCCAGCTTCAAAGAAGTAAAAATTTTGCACATATGGCAGTCTTAGGAAGCATTAAGTATTTCCCAAGGTATTCATGATGCAAATTCACCAAAGTAAAAATCAGAGGAAACAAAACCAATTGCTTAATTGTACCCCTGCCAATCATCATCTATGTAACACTTCTTTGATCATACAACTAGTATTATGAGTATTAAAGCACAAAAGATTCAAATTAGAAATTTCACCTTGGACTCATTTAGGCAGTCAAAAAACATCCTACAATATGATTAACTGACTGTTTAAACAGACCCAAAACTAAAAAGTATATTCTTGAATCATAGCAATTTGAGCTTACATAAACTTGAAAGTTGATGCCCATAAAATATCGCCTTAGGAAAATAATTCAGCAATGGTCATCTTCTACTTAATAGTTTATTTGTATGTCTCAGATTTATGTTATTGTTAATTACTTTCCACTTAATACTTTATCATGTCTAATTTCATGAAGATAACAAATGAATGGTAGTCATTTAAAATGTTGGAAGATAAATTTATTGTTAGCCCAATTGTGATTGACTATTTACTGAGTATGTCAGATATGATTGAGCAACTGAACATAGAAACTAAAGATTTTGCACACATGAAATATAGTCAATAACGGTCAATGACGATATAACATTAACGCCTCTAGAATCATACAGCAAATATAGCTGCATGAGTCTTAAATCAAAACAGACTTATCCGCACACACACACTCTATCAGGACAGAAAGGAAGGTGAACCACCAATATTGGCAAATGTAACGCATAATTTATCAGATCCTAAAATTGAAACACTAAAGAACCTAGAAATAAAGGTTAAAATAACATGACTAACACATTCCCTTTCTAAGGAAATGTCATTTAGGTTCAACATCATCTAGTATGGAAAGATGGATCCTCGCAAAACATACCATCCCAAACAGGAGTCATGTTAAGCAGGCCTTTTCTTGTCTGTCCTAGCATAGACCAAGCCCCAGGACAACCCTTGGCCAAAACAAGTATATCCTAACATGCAAGTCTACATGGACTCTTGGCTTAACCTTTAAATCCCTCTCCCAAAGGCACAAAGCACTGTTAAACTAAAATGAAAGGGTACTCAATGACCTCACTCAATCCAACAAAAGGACGTATTTCCAAAACTGTCAATTGATACACTTACTAAAAAATAAAAATAACTATACACTTTATGAAATAACTTACACTCTAACTAAAATTTTATCAGCCTCTAAATTCTAAAATTACAGACTACCACAAATTTCCCACAACTGAATGCTGGACATAAAAAATGTAAAAGATTAATGTAAAAGAAACTCTAAAAAGCAAAACCAGTATGACAATAAAGCAACATATATAATACCCAGCAGTTAACCAATTTGAAAGGGAAAAAAAAGGAATATTACAAAGAAAAGTTTACCGCTGACAAAATCTGTACGCTGAACACAATCTTACCACATCTAAAAAAGATTGGTGACAAAACCTTCCCACTGAACTTTCAGCCATTATGTTGTCTGCTTCGCCGAAAAAAGAGAGGTCGAATTGAAAAAATCTATTATAGAAAAAAAAAAGAAATTCCACCAGTATAAAAATCAACTCTATCAAGTTTAAAAGAATTGTGACAGTATTAAGCATTGGACCTAAAAATATTAAAAGATAACTAAAGGAAATTATTTTACTATTACAACTAACAGAACAAAGCACCTAAACAGCAATAACTTGGATAAAGTTTTCTTCGAATTTCAGCTAGAAGAGACATAAATTCTTTATGGCAAGGATATTGAACCTATGATAGTATCATATATTCAGAGGTTGGAAACAAGCCACTAAATGATGGAGACAATTTCACCCCTTGCTAGTTATGTGCTGTTCAATAGTCTTAACCAGGGCCTTATTCATAACACCAAGAACAATGCTTAATCCCATTAAGCAAGATCTACCTCTCATAGCCTAACAAAATCTTCAACAGTTCACACTCTTTAAGCGGTACCATAAAAATGCTACTGAGAATAAAAGCCAACAATCTTTGGCTTACACTTCTAATTTTCTGTTTTTGGACTTCAATTGAATGACCATGCAGGTCCTTTTGATGTCCATGCCACAACATATCTTTCCACTAGTTAAATTTCGAGCATACATAGACCCTCCGATTGAATTTATATCCTAAACTTGCCAAGAAGATCAAATGCTTTCATCCCACAGGTTTAGCAATCTATAGCAAAACACATTTTCCTAGCAAAATAATACACCTCATCAACGAATCCTAGCTACAAATGTTCAAGGAACTATTAATATCCATAATCATTAAAATGTTGCATTATTAATATTTTTTTGGAAAAAAAATCTTGTTGATTAACTGTAACCAGGTGAAAATGTCTACATATGAACATAAACAGGTGCCCCTTTTATATATTAATGGGATTTATGCAGAAGTCATCAACCATTTGATAGCAAAAATTAATACTGAGCACTAATATTTAGATAAGACCACAATACTTGGAAGTTTACACATTCTAAAAATAAGCATGTTTCCAAAAACTAATTTTCGGATTAACTTTATATAACTTAGAAATTAATTATAGAAAGCATATGAAGCCACAATTAGACTAAATGTTTACTGCAATATAAGAACAAATTTCCATATAAACTTCACCACATTATGTACACTTGTTCTGTAATCTACAGCTGACTCATAATTCTTTTGTAAATATTTTGAAATTGATGTACAATTTATATTTTCTTCCCTAGAATATACAAGAGGCAAGAAAAGTAGATAGAGCAAAAGCATCTGGGCAACAAAAAGATGGCTGGATGAATGCCAATGAATAATCAACAACCTTTTGTTATAGATGAAAATAAAATTGGCAATTGCATGCTGAATTCAACAATAGTTCAGGAAGGAAAACAGTTTGTTCAGTTAAATCCCACAGTGTCACGAAAGGACTCTAATCCTAAAATAAATTAGGAAAGGTTGAGCCAATAGTTGATTGAAGAAAGCAAGAGCAAAAGCTTATATACTGGATATATGTATGGTTCAACCTAAAATATCTAGGGATAAGTAAACCAAGTATTGATACAACCATCTCAAGAAGCAAAGTAAGCAACAGTTCATAACAGCTTGATATAGTAAAAAAAAAAAATTAACCATTTTAACCAGATAATGCTGAAGTTGACACAAAATACTGAAGTTCTAAAAGGAAAATATATCATATCAAAAAAGAAAAAACCAATAAACTTAACTGCCACTGAACTTCAGTTCCAAAAACCATCTCCATTTACATGGCAGCAACCTGAAACGACAGGACCAGCATAAACCACCCAGAAGTGAAAAAGAGGCATCAAAGGGTGAGTGACCTACATCACTAAGTGCCAAATACCACACCAACAAATTCAATCCCAAGTGAGCAAGGGAACAACCACAATCTATGGACAGCAAACATCAAGACTCAATGCTTATTCACACGGCCTTCAAATTTTACATTCTTTGACTTGCTTGTATCATTGCGTATGGAGTGATCACTGGAGGTTCTACAAAACAAAGCAACACAAAGAATAAAATGACGTGTCTTAACCATAAACAAATTAACATTTGGATACCACCATGCACAATATGGCCAGATGAACTTACAGTTTTTGTTTCTTTGCATTTTGTTTGATGGTCACAACCAAATCCATAGCCATCTTCTGGTGCTCCCTTGTTTGTGAGTGCAGGTCCAAGCCTTCAACTGTTTCACAGTCTAGTTTACAAATGCGGCACCAACCCATGCTCATTGGTTTTCTCTTTCTCAAATTATCAAATGAAGCCATACCACCCTGAAAACACCAGAGTCAATAATAGGGCAGAAGAAGCAGAAACACAAAGAACTCAATGATACACTTTCTCCGCATGCGTAGATGATATTAACACAGAAACAAGATGAATGGAGCAGTATTTTTGCACAAACATAATCAATAAAAATTAGAAGAAAACCAACACTTAACTGTATAGATTCCACCATCATTAGGGAATTCTTGAAGTGAAAAGCTGCTTCTAAACCCTGGCTCACCAAGTCGTGGATGACGGAAGTTTCCAGGCCCACCAAATTCTCCTATTCGTTCATGGCTAGAAAAATCACCAAAGCCGATGGGTTCTCCCAACCGCAAATGACCAGGCATGTTAGGATGACCCACATGTTCACCCCTTCTAAAGTACGCTGGCCGAGTATCTTGATTAATCATATCACGACTCCTCAAATGCTCCTCCATACAATCAGAACTCTCAAATCCACCCCTATGTAAGTGGCCAGGCAAGCCTGGAAACCTATCATTGAATCGGCGTTCCCTGCCATCTATCTCATCACCAGGATGCCCTCCAAATCCATGTGGGGATATGCCTGGATATTCTCTGCCTGGACTTCTAGAAACAAAACCATCCATACGATG